GCGCGTGTGTGTGTGTGTGTGTGTGTGTGTGTGTGTGTGTGTGTGTGTGTGTGTGTGTGTGTGTGTATCTGTGAGGAGAATAAAAATAAGATTAAAAAGTACGGCTCCAGAATAGAGGATGAGAAAGATGGACAGACATGGTGGAGTGGTAACACTGGGCCCCTTCTGCAGAGTGAGGTTAAAGGTGGGCCATATGGTTGAAACATGGTGGGTTTTGGAGGTTGTAAATGCTTAAAGAGTACAAAAAAAAACCCCGCTAAGAACCAGTTCCACATGTGTGGGCATCATGTGACTCCTTAACTGCTAATGGCTCAAAGCTGAGGCCTGGAATGCATACTGCTTTCATTGGCTGAGAAGCTGAACCATGGCAGTTTCCAAGCCACTGCTGGAAGCGCTTGAAATCACCTTATTAATCAGGTAGGGCTGGCCCCATGGTTGCTTCCCATGCCAGCACCTACACACCTTAGGGACTGGCAACAGCACGGCATTAAGCTGGGCTCAACTTGCTTCTTCCTAAGGCTTTTGATGGTGGGAAGCAAGTAGTTTACAAATCCGCTTCTCACAGGTTCTCCATCTTTCAAACATTACCCCACCTCTAACTACTGTAAATAATGGAAGAGATGGGCTAGAGTGTGAGGTGAAGTGAGGTGACAATTAATATTGTATTTGAAGATTTGGCAGGTGATGCCGAATCATAAATGCATAGTAACCATCACCTGATTATCAGGTGATGACCACACACACGTGAACCGGCAACAAGGTGGGGAAAAACTGTCCCATGAATACAATAGATATTTATTTATATCCCACCTTTCCTCCTGTGAGTTTATGACCATGCATGTGGCTTTCCTTCTTCCCAGTTTATCTTCACAACATCTCTATCAGGTAGTTTAGCCTCAGATTGAGCAAATGGTCCAAGGTCACCCAATGAGTTCCTAGTCCCTCATTACTCTATGGCAGTGGTTCCTAACTTTAGGTAACCCCGGTGTTCCCAGATTCAGATGCTCCTAATTTTTTTGACTAGCACAGCTAGTGGTGATGGCTTCTGGGGGAGTTAGTACAAGAACATCTGGGGACCCAAGGATATATCATTCAGAGAGATATATACTTCTGGGGGAGTTAGTACAAGAACATCTGGAGACCCAAAGATTGGAACAATTGCTCTACAAAATATATCATTCAGAGAGGTAAATAAAAGACAAACAAACAATGTAGGCCTAAAGATCCTCTTGTGGGTTTTGACTGGGTGAACGGCTTTCCTCCTCACTTCTTCAATGTCACAACAACCCAGTGAGGTACATTAGGCTGAAAGAGAGTGAATTTCATTATTCCTTGGGGAGTAGGACCTGTTCCAAATCCAGTTCACACCACTAACCACAGATTCACAGAATTGTGGAACTGGGAAGAGACACCAAAGACAATTGAGTCAAACTCCCTGCCAAAGCAAGAAATCCAACAGATAAAGCATCACTGACAGGGAGCCATCTTACTTTTGTTTACCTTAAATGAAGGATATTCCATTGTCCAACAACTCTTACTATCAAGAAGTTCTTCAGGCAAAATTGCAGTTCTCAAAACTTGAATCCATTACTTCAGTTCCTATTTTATGGAGCTACAGAAAACAAGCCTCTTCCATGTAACAACCTTTCACATATTTGAAGAGCCCTGTCATATCACCTCTCAGTTTTCTCTTCTTCAGGTTTAGACACATTCAGCTTCTTCAACTGTTCTTGATAGGGCTTGATTTCTAGACATTTCACCATATTGGTTGTCCTCCAAGTTACTGTGTCATAATGGGTTGCAAATACTGTATCAGATTAGTCCTAGCATTCGGAGACAAAGACTACCATTTCTGAAACTAAAAAGCTGGTTGCAAATGATCTATCTTCTGCCTTGGGCAAAATGTACAGGTTCTTGAATGGAAGTAAAAAAGAAAAATGGCTGCCTTTATTCTAGCAAAGTAGGGACTGGTTTTGTGTTTTGAGTAGACCACTGTTTTCAAAAGTCAACAGAAATGAAAATGTTTAGTATTACCTTGTGGTTAAAGGGAACAGAAGTCTCAAGATGTGAAGTCCTCTTTCAGGTGATGGAAAATCACATTCTTCTGGCACTAAATTAACCTAAACAGTTAAAGATGGGATTGTCCAAAATGTATAAAAAATTAGGAAGTATTGGCAGGAGTGGTGGTAGTAGAACTAAGTCTGGTGGTATAAAAGTGTCTGAAATAACTATAATCCACTTTACAGACATTAACCAATAGGTGCCTATTGCAGTGCTTGCACTCTTACCTTGTACATGCTGGTAACAACAGTTACTGATATACCATTTGGCCAGGGAGGGGTTCCTAGATGTGGAATCACATTTCCCCAGATATTGTAGTGGTATTCACAAAATATAATAATTTTGCAATCTCAAGAGAAGTCATTGGCACCAGTTGCCACAAATAGGTAACAACCATGCATTTATGGCACAAAATTTTAGCATCCTGGAGAGACTTGTAAAAATTGAGTTCTAAAGTATTGGCAGGAGTGGTGGTAGTAGAACTAAGTCTGGTGGTATAAAAGTGACTGAAATAACTATAATCCACTTTACAGACATTAACCAATAGGTGCCTATTGCAGTGCTTGCACTCTTACCTTGTACATGCTGGTAACAACAGTTACTGATGTGCCATTTGGCCGGGGAGGGGGTGCAAGCTGTGGAATCACATTTCCCCAGATATTGTAGTGGTATTCACAAAATATAATAATCTTGCAATCTCAAGATTAGTCATCGGCACTAGTTGCCACAAATAGGTAACAACCGTGCATTTATGGCACGAAATTTTAGCATACTGGAAAGACTTGTAAAAATTGAGTTCTGATGAATAGAAATGTTGCTTCTCTTGCATCTCCACAAGGCTTTAGGGGAAATAAGTAGCTTGGAAAGTTAATGCATTTTGGTAACAGGCCAGTAACAATATCATGTTTTACAGACATTTTTCGATCTTACGACTGCTTGGTCTTCTAACCCTGCAGCACAGGCTTCTGCGGTTTAGCCTGCAGCGCCACCACGTCCCTTAGGGCATCTCCACAAGGCTTTAGGGAAAATAAGTATCTTGGAAAGTTAATGTATTTTGGTAACAGGGCAGTAACAATATCATGCTTTACAGACATTGTGACTTCTGTTTTCAGTCTATACCATGAAAGAAGATTCACCTGCAACAGGAAAACAGATCAGCCCTTTTGACAATGATGTTATGGGGAAAGAAAACTTTTCTCAAAAAAACTCAGAGAAAGAGGAAGAAAATTGGATCAGAAATTTAGAGCAAGAAATCCATGTCATCAAGCTGAGCAATCAAATTTTACATTGGACAATGGCCAATGTTACAGGTATGTTTTTATCTTTTCCCTAGGTTCGACGTCTTTTTTTAAAAAAAAATTCAATGGTTTTGGTTTGGGGGTTTGTTTGTTTTTTGTCTACCATCACAGTCACACTGTGGACATCGAAAAACCCTGAACCACTGTTTACAAAGTGGCACAGATGTCTTTATTCAAATAGCAAGAATTAGCAAGTGTGTGGCACAGCAGTCTTTTTCAGCACAGAGTCACACCTTTCTTTTCTCCCTGCAAGGCTTTGCAGACAAGAGCCTTTTCCTGGGAAAGATTCTGTTGATCATGATTATTAGAGTATGCCGCTTGCTGCTGTGCCTCAGGCAACATAATGCCTAGGGACCAGCCTTGGCTTTTACTATAATCTTTTCTAAAGCTAACCATGTGACATATGAGCTGCTGAAACTCTACCCAGAATTTATGCCCCTAGAAAGTTAAAAAACAGTTTGTTCCCCATAAGATTAAGATTTTCATTTAGTGGCAAAAGAAAAATTGTTACCATCATTTGTACATATTTCTAAGTGGTCTGCTCTTTTCTAATAAATATTAATATCTGTTTCAGAACGACTTGAAAACAATGAATTTCAAGGACTGCCAGGACCTCCAGGTGGGTAAATATATCTATGACTTCCACCCAATCATCATAAAGAACCTGACCCTGAAAACATTGTTTGTGGAATCCATCTCCCAGAATCCCCCCCAGCCAGTTTTGTGCAAGTTGTCATGGTGAAATGATGAAGTATTAGATCACACCTCTGTGGCACAATTAGGTGTATGACCAAGCACATGAGAGAGAGAGACCTTATCAATTAGCTGTTATTAACCACAGCAAATTGCACAGACCTTATGTGAGCATCAGAAGGAATCTGGCATTTTTAATTATTTTTTTAAGATTTAAACTTTTGTTTAAAGGAGAGCATAGAAGACAATTCTGTTAGATTGATTGTTAAATACAGATAATTTGAAAATTTTTATTCCCCTCAGTCCTGTGGTCTGAGCCACTCTGAAATTAAGGATGTTCTGTTTTTCATATTCAGGTTCCAAAGGAGAACGAGGAATGCCAGGAGCAAAAGGGGACAATGGCAGCAAAGGTTAGTGTTCATGCATTTAGATTTTGAATTTGAAAAACTTGGGCCCAATTCAGCTGCCATAATGGTGATCTGACAACCCTTATACTGAGCAAACTATGTGCCCATAACCTCCTTCTTCCCTCTGCCTTTCCAATGTCTTAAAATACAGTCTTGATGAATGATGATCAAGCCAGGAAGCTTTGAAGAGCCTTCTAAACAAGGACAAGAAATGAGGGATGATCACATAGCCCATTCCTAGTCTAGTAACCATAGTTCATCAGGCCACGATCATGGTGCTGGAGGCACAAAACTGATTGGCCACAGAAAGATGCAGAAATATAGTGGGAGTCAGTTCTCAGTGGATGAAAATATATGACTATAAATATACATCCATGGCATGAACAGGCAGGCAGGAAGTATATGAAGCTCACTCAGCTAATCCGTGGTCTTCGTTGTGCCTGCAACACGTGTTTCTCACAAGAATGGTAAACAGCACATGTTTTGCACATCTTTCAGGAGAGAAAGGCGAAAAAGGAGATACTGGTTTAAGAGGAAGCAAAGGAGAGCCAGGTCCAAAGGGTAAGCAAATAATAGGACATTTTCAAGCAAAGTTAGATTGATGTATATCTGTAATATTTGTTAACATCTGATTTAAATGCAAATATATTTTTCCCCACCAGGCATTGGACTTCCCGGGCCAAAAGGAGAAATAGGTAAAAATAAAATCATTTTACTCTATAAATACCCTAGAAATTAGGAGTAAAACCCATTGTTAACCAACTAGAGTAGACTTGTTGAATGAATGGGAGTTCTCAAATCAAACATTATGTAAATCCTATCTATTCAGTGGGTCTAACTGAGACTAACTGTTGGATTCAACCCATAACATTTAGACTTGTTTTGTAGCTGAAGAGTCACCAAGAGCATTCTGTGTTCATGTGATACAGCTGATTGCTGAGCCTTGTCTGAAAAAGGGACATATAGGGTCATATAAATACAGTAACTAAATTCTGCTTAATCCTCAATGTTCAAAAGAGACTAGAGGGAACAGATATCTAGAGTTTGAGGAAATAAAAAAGGAAACCACATGCTTGCTCTTTACTTGAAATAAACTTGTGAATTATCAGCCAATCAGTTGGAACAGAACAGTTCAATTAAATAGAATACAGTACAACTAAATAAGAACTTAGGGATTTTTTAAAAAAAGTGACATGTGAGTCATACTAGAGTGGCCTTGGCTGCTGGATGGGC